CTTCATACTGCATTCCCGTGCATACAAGGCGTCTGCAGAAGCACGCGGGGACGCGCGGGTACGCGGAGCCCGAGCCCCGTCAGCGCAGTTGTGTAAGTACAGATCGGATGGCAAGGATGGCTGGTGATGGCCAGAGTGAGAGCGATGTAAGGCGCCGCGCCCGGCCATCTCCCGTGGTCGGCAAGGACGGCTGGTGATGGCCAGAGTGAGAGCGATGTAAGGCGCCGCGCCCGGCCATCCCCCGCTGGTCGGCAAGGACGGCTGGTGATGGCCAGAGTGAGAGCGATGTAAGGCGCCGCGCCCGGCCATCCCCCGTTGGTCGGCGACTGCGCTTGCCCTGCCCCCCCCCCCCCCCCCCGCTGTTGTCCTTGCATCGTTCCGGCTAGAAAAGGCGCACAGATGGGGCGATGCGATGTGGTTGGTCCTATCCACTTCCAGGGACCTCCTCCAAAGAAGGTATTTACGTGCACAGACGGGCTAAAACGCCATGTGGCGGCTGAACACGGCTGCGGGATCTGATGATTCATGCGGGACATATCTCTCTGTGCCACTCCTGGTAACCTGGATTTGTGGGGGCCTTTCTAAGCTTCGCCCCCCACCTCCGCCCTATGATCTCATCTCGTAATCCAGAGAACGGATTGGTTCAGAAGTGGTCGCCAGCGAATTCCCGGGACGTAATCCACTATTTCACGACTTAAAAACTAAATGTTTCTGAACCCTAAAGCGCGGCGTCAACAAACCGATCATGGCGGCGATTTGCCTGCCATAAGCCCAAGGTCTTACTTGTCCTGTCATAACTCCAAATACAACGGGCGGTTTCGGATGCAAGGGATAGGAAACTGCTCGCGGCGTGTCGGCATGTTTTTAATGTCGATAGGGGATGGGACCGCCCGGCGGACTCATGCGTGTGCTGTTTTATCTCCGCACGCCGGCCGACAAGAGAAACTGTGGAACTGTGACCTTGCAGACAGATGATAATGTTTGAGTCGCAGGCCGGATGTCCCATCGGGGAGAGGAAACCCGAGATTCCAGATGGCGTGACCTTTGCCCTACCGCATCAACTGGTGGAGACTCAGGTCCCGCGGTCCCCGCGATTTTGTGTCCGGTGGGATCGTATCCTGCCGGCCTGGCGGCTTCCGCCGGTCACAGTGGCTGCTGCGGGGCGGGTGGCGGCCCCAAGCGGTGTCCCCAGCAGCGGAGGCATCACCCCTCACCTCCTGTCCGCCGAGGTTGGCTGGTGAGACCTCTCGCAGACCCCCCCCCCCGCAGGCATTGGAGGCATACTGTGCGCCCATCGGGTGGCGTGGAGCGAATGAGGAGTCCTTGGGTGCTCCGTCGCCTTCTGTGCGGTCCACCCCGGCCGGAGCCTCCTGCTACAGACTGTTCTTCCCGTTACACCTCATGCAGGGGGTGAGATCTCCCTCCGTTCCGAACAGCTGGCTATGGGAACTTGTAGCGTCGGACGCGTGCTCTAGACGACGCCTCGAGCTCAGGCGTCACGCCGTCAAGTAGTACCCTGAATCAGTTACTGCCGTATCTATCGCCTTTGTGCAGAGCAGTTCCAGACTGATGCAACAACTGACAACTGACGCCCTATGATCAATACCAAGGTCGGTTCGGCGGACCCGGTGGCAAGCACCTTCAGCATCTGGCACATGGCTTCCGGCTTCCCTTCACGGAATGGGCACCGTTCGCCGGCGGCGTGTCCGCGAGCCGCCCACCACCCCAGCGGGCACCGTTCGCCGGCGGCGTGTCCGTGAGCCGCCCACCACCCCAGTGGGCACCGTTTGCCGGCGGCGTGTCTGTGAGCCGCCCACCACCCCAGCGGGCACCGTTCGCTGGCGGCGAGTCTGCGAGCCGCCCACCACCCCAGTGGGCACCGTTCGCCGGCGGCGTGTCCGTGAGCCGCCCACCACCCCAGCGGGAACCGTTCGCCGGCGGCGTGTCCGCGAGCCACACACCACCCCCGTGGGTTCTTACGCTTGCATCCCCGCCCCCTCCCTGGCGTTCGCATCCCCCCCCCTCCCTGGCGCTTGTTTCCTTTGATCCCTTACAGACCTTCGGCATTTTATTTTTCCTTTGATCTCTTACAGGAGTCGTATCCGAGAAAGCGTCTCTTGGTGCTGAAGGTCGGGAAAGAACCACGTGAAGGTGACATTTCGGATCGTTGCAGGGCAACGCAGATGGGCTGGTGATATCTGCGTACCCACATCCTGCTTGTTGTGTCCTGCTGTATTGTAAAAGAAAATGGCGGTCCCACGTATTTGTTTTTACACGCCGGTAAACTATCGCGACCAACGGTGGTCGATAGGGGGACGACGAGTCAGCGTCCTCGCTTCGGCAGGCTTCCTCTTGGCCGTCCGCTGTCATCCCGGCGGGCAGCGGCGGCTGAGTGGAATGTGATTATGATTGTGGTTAGATTGTGAGTTTTGGGCTTCCGCATTCGCAGAGGCTGAAAATGATATAACATGTCAAGGTAGGTTGTTATATTTGACAGGTACTCGGTAACCTGGCGCTGGTGGATGAATCTCCGCGCGTGGGGAAGCCCGGTGTGGTTGGATTGGCGAGTGTCCCACCAGCTATGGCTGCGTACTGAAGATGTTTGTCAGTGGCTGCTATGATTACGCTGCCAAGATCTTGAGCGGCAGGGTCTGAGTGTGATTTCAAGGTAAATATTTTACAGAAAGCCAGTGAGACTCTTTACGATATCGGAATTTTTGGTCGTGTTTTCGGCAGCCCAAGATAACTTGGGCACAGAAGCTCAACATGAACTGCGCTGGCTTCTGATTGGTTTCGTTTGCCTTACTGTGCGTAATTACCGCGTCAGGGGTCATCGAGATGGCCGGCTCAGCGAGAGGGACAGAGAGGGTGTTGACTAACTGGTTGGGGAGACAGTGTTTGGCGTGGCTTCAGGTCACAAGGAATTCAGTGCGGCGTCACAATAAACCGTGATGCCTGGGTTGGACGTGCCATTACTTCCACAAATGATGTTTTCGTCAAACTGAACGGAGACCGGAGACCTGCGGTGCAGCATTTGATGTGTGCCCAGCGTCATCAGTTGGATTTTCCCGTAAACCAGGCATCATCAGTTGGATTTTCCCGTAAACCAGGCATCATCAGTTGGGTATTGCGGTGAAATCTAAGCTTAAAGAGAATGTTTCACATTTGAAGGTGTTGAAGTAAGCACCAGATCTTATGAAATTACCTCACTTATAACTCTCGGTACATTGGTAAGTGGACAGCACGGCCCAACACAATTTCTCTGCTAAATAGATGTGCTTCTCTATATGTCATTGCTTGATTACGTCATCGCGTCTTGCACAACAGTTATAGATAGCCAGTTCATGGACGTTTTATCTGGAAATCGTGGTCACGGACGTCAGATATAACCAACTCGACAATCGGAGTATTTGCTTTTTATTACCACATAGCCAATGGAATGGCAGGATTTGAAAGACGTTATTATGGAGTCGCGGATGCCTGGGTGACCTTAAAATAGTCTCCCCAAAATAGTGTGCACATTTTCACGGGTATGTGGATCAGAAACTAGAGGGGTTTAGGTCTAAAGGACAGGGCTGTTGACTGCACCGCATGATCTTCAATATGGCTAGTTCAGTTCAAAAGTCCATACAAATTTGGAACACTCCCTTTAATGACATGCTGTCAAAACCAGCTGCATGGCATATATGCAGCTCGTTTCATTTTGACCAATATGTTTCAGTAGGTCACGTTTCTGTTTTGAAACAGGCATATGCATGTTATCCGTGCATTTGAGTCCTTATGTATCGCTCGGTGTATGTAGCGTGGCGTCGTTGGGAAATCTGGTGTATCAAAGAGGCCGAAGGGTATCTCCTTGGTGCACCCCACTGGCACGTGCCTTGCTTGTGAAGTCATATTGCTTCGGGTTTTGCAGTTGACGCAAACCTTTTGCGAATGGCTGCGAAGGTAGGTGCTGAGCCGACTGCTGTCTGTAATTTACAGAGAGCTTCTATAGAATTTAGCATGACTAACGTCAAGACATTTTGGCAAGCCTGGAAAGGTAAGAACTGATGCTTCGCCCATCCACGGCATTTGAGATCATGTCAGCTCCACAGACCAGTGCTGTCTCCGCCGAATGTGGTCTGGTGATCCATGCTGTGATACAGACCAGTGCTGTCTCTGCCGAGTGTGATCTGGTGATCCATGCTGTGATACAGACCAGTGCTGTCTCCCGAGTGTGGTCTGGTGATCCATGCTGTGATACAGACCAGTGCTGTCTCCGCCGAGTGTGGTCTGCTAACCCATGCTGTGATGGAGCAAAGTTATGATAGCCGTCGAACAACACGCATAATCGCCGGTGTGCCACATGCTCGCTACTTTGCATCCCCGGACATGATCGCCGGTGTGCCACATGCTCCGCTACTTTGCATCCCCGGACATGATCGCCGGTGTGCCACATGCTCGCTGCCTTGCATTCCCAGACATGATTGCCGGTGTGCCACATGCTCGCTACTTTGCATTCCCAGACATGATCGCCGGTGTGCCACATGCTCGCTTCTTTGCATTCCCAGACATGAACGCCGGTTTGTCACATGCTCCGCTACTTTGCAACTCCAGACATGATCGCCGGTGTGCCACCTGCTCGCTACGTTGCATTCCCAGACATGGTCGGGCTTTGCCTGAAGTTTGGTGGTTCGAAGAGGGATCTTTGTTCCCCACGTGCAAGTTCATTAGAAACACCTTCCAGGGATGGGGGCCGACGCCGATGGCAAGGCTCATGTTATCAACGTTCGAAACAATTTTACATTGTACGGAGGAGCAGCTTTTGACAATGCGCAATGCAAGATCATCATCACCGTAGGACCATTGTCATCTCAGCAGGTGAAACCACTCAGTTTTAAGCGATTCCGATAAGACTTTGAAGAGTGCTTGGATGCACGTGACACCATCCGGTGTTTGCTCCGGACAGAAGTGATGCCAGACTGTGTGGCTGTCCTTGACGTCGGTTTGGCGGTTTGCAGTCGCCGTCTTTGCTCTAGTCTGGACTGAGAAGTGTAGGTTCATGTCTGGAACAGCTTGTGGTGCGTGCCGTCTTGAGCCATCTTTCCTTCCGGACCTGACTGGTCTGATGCACTGGTGCATGCTGTGGAAACGCGTCATTTCGTCAAACGCGTCATTTTCCGCCTGCGTTGCCTGATGTACTCCAGTCGGGTCTTGCCA